TCTCAAAACATCAAAATAAGAAAATACCGTAAATCAAAAAAGGTTTACTGTTATTTAGTTTGGTTCAAAACCTACAAAATCTTCATTGCTTTCACTGTAATTTATTTTATTATTATTTAGGGAGCATTATAAATAGTCATGTTTTTAGAAGAAAAAAAGTACTATTGTTATAAATAACACATTCAACTGAACTAAACTATGCATGCCTGTTTAAATATATTTACACATGGCTTGTGTATATCGTATATATACATATATATTATTCATACCTTCGGTGTATAGGACGCAAGCAGATTTTAACATAAAATTTTGGGGAAAAAAGTGCGTCTTATACACAGAAAAATACGGTACATAAGTTTGGTATTAATTATTTTTTAAACGTTTTGTATTATTAACCCCTGGAAAAGAAGAGAAAACGAAAAATGTTAGTGAGGTATTTGCGTCATTTACCTTAACGATGTTTGATTAGATGTTTATTTTTTTTTCTCGAACCAGGCCAGCCTTGAAGCTGAAAAACTCTGATAGACTGAGGCCAAAAATTTCAAGCCGGGTTTATCTTACCCACTACTATTGGTTATGTAGGCGCGTCATAAATGTAACTTGAATCACGTTTGTTTGACTACGACTCAGTAGAACACTTTTACTACAATATAATATCCAACTAACTCTGATGCCAGTACGAAAATGAGTGTTTCATTAAATCTAACTGGTGCTTTGAAAAAGCTGCGAAGTTTTGAAAGTATGTGGATATATGTGTTGTTGTAACGCGTCGTGATTTTCAGTGACGATATCCGATGATGTACAAGATGCCATCTTCATGCTTAGAAAACGTTCATTTCATGTAATCAAAGAGTAGAGGTACCTAATCGCAGGAAACACTTTTTAACTTCACGGCATCCTTGAGTTAAAATGAACCGTAGTTTTATTGCTATTATCGACACTCAGGTTACTCAAACTTACGTAACTTATGATGCCAGCAAGCTATATTATCAAAGAGATAGAGGAGATGAGGAAGCAGTTCTAATAGCCTTAATTATTTACTGGAGGATCGTTCTCACTGCCGTCCACTTCGTGTAACACTATTGTTCCACCAACAGTGCTTTCCAAATGTTTCTTTAGCTTTTATCACTATTCAAGATGTTCTTACTTTACTACTTAATCACTTTAACCGTCAGCATGATACAGTCTAATTTATGTGAACAGAATATATCGAAAGGAAAACGTAACTTTCGCTGAACATTGCCCGTTAGATTATTCTTCACTTGGCACGGCATAACATTTTTTGAAAGGCATTTTCACGTGGAAGGTGATACAATATGCTGACGATATAGAACAAAAGATCGTTCCCAAGTGTTGTGATAGCCTCATGCGTTACTCTCGTGCTTTCAAATGCTTACGCGTAATTTTTGCACGTACTCAAAATTATTGTAGGACAGTCCTTCTGGTGTTATGTGTTTAGCATAGTCTCGTCCTTTTAGTGTTTTGTGTTTAGCATAGTTTCGGCTTTCTTTGTATCTCCTAGTGGAATATTTCTCAATTGAAGCTGACCTGATGAGTTGTTTTTATTTCAATTCTAAGCATAAGAATAGAAGTCAGTTGTGAAGAAAACAGTCGACAACGTCCACTGAACCCATTATCACAGTGTGTCTGTTTCTGTGATTCGTCCAATGTTAGGAAATAGAACATAGGTTACAAGTTTGCTTATGCAGCGAAATAACTATAATGACTGAAATTTGAGCACGTACAGATATTATTAAATATTTTCCTAACCAAACAAAAGCAATAATGATTTTTTCGTCATTCTGTTGCTATTCAACATAATACTTAAGCTGTGTTACAGTGTGTATCAAACGTATAAAGCAAGTTTCCAACATTTCTCCAAAAAAGAGATTGAATTTTGATATTTGTCACACTGTGCCTGTAAAAACTGAGGTACTTTTATTGTGGATGGACCAGATTCCTTTATAAAGTTGCGTATTTTCGTATACGTTTATCTTGCCTATTACTTTGTCTTGTTGGAAGAGATTCTTAGCAGTTCTACGAAAATAAAAATCACTCTCATTACATTTTGTTTGTTTACACGTATGTACATTTACAAGCATAAAGCAAACAACTAGTTGCCCGACCCGTCAAAAATGACGGGTTGGAGTTTTGATATTAAAAAAAAAAAAGAACACATAACTTTTTCTTCTAATTACGTTATATAACCTTAAAATTACACTTTAAACCCCGAAAGAAGATGAAGCACCTAAGACCAGTAGGTCTAAAGTTTATGATAAAAATTCTGTCACAAAATTTAAACCTAAAATTTAATTTCAAGTACCATCATTAGTTAAGACTAAAGGCAATACCTTTAGGGAGAAAGAAAAAAAAAGATGTTTTTTACAAAAAGTAATAATAAAACTAACGAACTTCACGAAAACCTAATAAAAACATACAAATTATGGTCAATAACTTCTAGTTTAGATGTTTTAAAAACTCGCCAAAAACTTCGATATGTGTACTTCAAGCTAAGTATATGTATAAACTAAAATATAAAACAATCTAAAAAATGTGGTATTCCAGCCAGCCCTCGTGAACTTTCAAAGTATTACATACATGTAGTTTTGCTGCTAAGTGACACAGATGAACGGAGTGTTACCAAAAGACAACTGGCTTATATATATTAGATAAGTTTTATTCTATTATAATTTCATTAAAAGTTTTGTAAAATGTTTAATATATATCTTTTCCTTTATTTATTGTTATTTTTTAGTATTAGAATTATTTTTATTTGTTATCTTAGCGTATGGAATTATGGGTTTTAGAATCAATTAAAATTTCCTCAGCTTGTCGAACCTGTTTATATATTACTGGTGTTATGGCCCACAATATCGATAAAATCGAGGGTACCCGTCTGATGAATCAATGCTTTGTAATCCTTAAGTTTTTA